CCCCCCTTCTAACCGTCAAGCAACGTCTCCTTGACTGGCCGCGAGGCCTAGGGCGTGCACCGTGTCTCGCTCCTCGTCGGGAGCAAGAGATCCCATCGAGACCCAGGTAGAGCCCTCGGACACAAGGCAGGACGTGTTATGTAGGCATAACGCAGATGACGCGCTTGGCGGGAACGAGCTGAAGAGTAAAAAGCAGCGAGAGAATGAATTTGGGACGATAAGGAGGGGTGGCGCAGGCAAGAGGGTGGCGCGGTGAAGAGGCGAAGGGGTTGAAACACTCAAATTTCGACTGAACGTTGCTGTGACTGTCGTGTTTCAAGACCGCATCTCGCTTGAGAGGACGAAGAGGGGAGGAAACCCGAGATTTTTCTGTTGACAAACCGTAGTAGCATGCCAGCAACAAGAAATTGTAGTGTATTGTGGCTTCCTTAAAGAGGGTACGTAGACAAACAAGCGCATCGCCAAACGAAAAATCACTGGAAGCTAGCAAAGCTGCGCGAGGAGACGCCCGTCCAATTCGCACCCACGGTTGCGCGCTGCTGCTCCCACCGTGGCAAACAGGGAAAAATGACGATCATTTACGACACCTCCAGTCAAACCGTGACAGGATATATCATATAACTATACCCACGGCCGAAACCGAGTAAAACTCACGCGACTGACTTGCCATCACTTCAAACACAGCAAGAACGCCCCCTGAAAGGACCTGTCTTGCACAAGACGACACCCATTTCGCCGCCAAATCAAAGCGTGATGTATCGCCCGTCGCAGTGTCGCGCGAACAAATTGCTTCGCACGGCGTTTATTCACCTGCTCCAAGACGGCGGGAGGGATTCCAGCCGCGACGTACACAACTAGCGCGTCTTTCCTGAGGTGTGGAGTGATCTCTTGCAGCACCGCCGGGATGACGCCGTGCTTGACGGCAAGGACAACCACGTCGGACCCGGATGCAACCTCTTGCGACCTGGGCTGGCAAGCAGACAAACAAACAAACAGACAATGAATGAAGTGTGTCCAGGTTCTGTACGTAGACGGGATTGGTTTTATGTTGTTGCGAAGCATCGCAATAGAAGCGCGCGAGCGCGAGCACCTACTTAGGCATGTCATGTCACGAACAGCCAAACAAAAAGAAATTGCCGAATTCATTTCCAGCAGCACAATTTCACCCGTGCGCGAGTACACGCCGTTGTCTTAGACAACGTGATGTGTGTATTCATCGCGCGAATACTTTTATTCCAAACATGTCAACCGACGCATGGCTCCAGACGCAATGGATGGGACGGGGGCAAGTGGGGTCTCCGCCGTCAGCAGATCATGGGAGAGGAGGTAGTCTGCTATCGAAACGCTGGTGTGACCAGGAATCAATTTCACATCAAGACAATCGGACGCGGACGGAGGAGAGGACAGAGACACGCCGACGACAGGCGGAACGCTAGATTCAAATGAGAGTAATGCCGCACAACCACCTTGACACATTACAACACCAACAGGTGAAGCCGAAGACACGATTGAACATGATTGGAGCCTCTTGGCCCACCCAACCTCGAGGGTAATGTCAGATGTGCGAATGCCCAACTTAGCCAAGCGGTACAAGCTCGATGTGTGCGGCGTGCTGACGAAGACGTTGCCTGGTTCCGTCACCTGCGTAGCCGTGGTAGCCAGATCACGCAGGATCGTTCGAACCAATTGGGCATTAATAAATGCCATCTTTACTGCTCTTTTTTCCACGAAGTCTTGAAGGTAGCAACTGGCAAATAACGAGGGGGCGACACCGGTCGCTTCCCTCTCTCATGCGGTATCCAAGTTCCCCTTAGGGTTAACTGGCTAGGCCTAACATAATTCCGTTTTTAAGTCGAGGCCTCGGATTCCGAGGTCGAGGTGCTCGGAATTTTCGTTCGTCAAGAGCACCATCTCCTCGCAGAGAATTCGGTGATGAAAAAGTAGAAAGCAGGCTGCACATCACGCGAAAGGCACTCACTGTTCAAAATCGCCACAGCCTACATTGTGGTGTGTGGAAAACGTCGTAGACTATGTCTAAACAGCAGCAGCAAGCATCGCCAAATGACTCGGAAGTCATTCTTTGACCTGCATGCAGATGCATACAGCAGCCTATTTTTGCACCAAACGGCGGGGTCTGCTGTAAGGCTCTAGTCTAGGTAGGTTGGCGCGCCCTGGCGCCGTACTCCGCGCGATCGAGTCTATTACTTCTGTGCCGTCAGATATGTTAAATCCGCTTCCGAGGCTATGCACAGAGCCTAATGTGTTTTGTTGATGGGCGCACCGCGCACCGCATATCCCAGGTTCATAGTATGTGCTGGTACAATGACACAACAGCAGACAGCCCTTACAAACAGAGACACGTGCCCTCACCGAAAAGAGCATCTGCCGGCTCCGACTTGTACGACATGGCCGCGGCCACGCCTATACATGTGCGTCGAAGGAATGGTCAATCCAGCTGTAGATTGGACGGGGCTTCAATTTGGTTAAGGATAGGCAACGTTTGCGCACACGTTCATGGAGATCGGAGCAATTTGGTGCCGGAGCACCTTCTGCATGGTCGTGTTTCGTGCTTGAAAAAGCCGGCCACCGACACAGCCAAACGATAGTGCAGGAGGCACCAATGCGCCAATCAGCCGAAACTTGCTGAGCGCGTCTAAATTGGTGCAGGACGGTCAATGGTCTGATTCCTCGCGCCTCGGGCGTTCGGGTCAAAAACGCGCGTTCGGAGCTTCGGAGTGAACGGCGACAGGCATAGCACATGTTTTTGACTGTTCTGTGAGGTCTCTAGAGAATGCAACGGTCTGGTAGAGGATGCGCATAGATTGTGACGTTTTGCACCACGATCGCTACGGAAAGAGTCGGAGAAACGGCGATTCGTCAACCAAACCTCGCTCGACATATCAATCATTTAGAGTCTGAATTGATATTTGAGGACTTGGCAACACGAACCATTCATATGTGTTCCACAAGGACAGAAGAATCCCCTACCAAGATTCCCCAACCTTCATCACCTTGTACCAGGAAGACGCCTACTACACACGACAAGGATTGCGCAGTTGCCATGATGATTTGATGAGCCTGAAAAGTGTTCGAATTAAGTCTTTCCTGCACATGAATATGAAACAGCTCTCTCTCATTTGATTTCGTCCATACTCTTGAGTACTGACAACATGTGCTGAGCTTGAGCTGTAGCACCGGTACAAACATCGTTTCAAAACACGCTGAACGAGCCTGCGCAATCATCTCAAATCACACCTGAAGCTTTTACAACACCCTTGTTCCACCACAAGTCACAGATCGCAGCGAAGTTGGCCACAAGACTCCGGCGATAGCCTGATCGGACTTTAACCGGAGCGATAGCTGCTGGAGGGAGGACGGCCACACGACTCTGGCAAGCGGCTGTTTGAAGGACCTCCCGAATGATAGGTTTTGCAGGGAGGACGGCCACATGACTCCGGCGATAGGCTGATTGAAGTAGTCCCCGAACGATAGTTTCTGCAAGGAGGACGGCCACACGACTCCGGCAATTGCCTGATCAAAATATAATCCGAACGACAGGTTTTGCAGGGAAACCGGCCACACGACTCCGGCAATAGGCTGATTGAACCTGTGCCCGAATGATAGCTGTTACAGGGACGCTGGCCACGAGACTCCGGCGATAGGCTGATTCAAGTGGTACCCGAACCACAGTTGCTGCAGAGAGGACGGCAACACGACTCCCGCCATTGACTGATCGACTTCGTACCCGAACGATAGCTGCTGAAGGGAAGACGCCCATGTGACTCAGGCAATAGGCTGACTGAATCCTGCCCCGAACGATAGCTGTTGCAGGGAGGACGGCCACACTACTCCGGCAATAGGCTGCCTGAAATATGACCCGAACGATAGGTGCTGCAGTGAGGACGGCCACGCGACTCCGGCGATTGACTGATTGAAACATAGCCCGAACGATAGCCGCTGCAAGGAGGACGGCCACGCAACTCCGGCGACAGGCTGATTGAAGCTGTACCCCAATGATAGCTGTTGCAGGGAGGACGGCCACACGACTCCGGCAATAGGCTGGTTGTACTTGCCCCCGAACGATAGCTGGTGCAGCGAGGACGGCCACATGACTCCGGAATGGGCTGATTGAAGTAGTACCCGAACGATAGCTGTCGCACGGAGGACGGCCACACGACCGGCAACGGGCTGATCGAAGCTGTACCCGAACCAAAGGTGCTCCAGAGAGGACGGCCACGTGACTCCAGCAATCGGTTGATTGTAGTGGGTCCCGAAAGATAGTTGTTCCAGGGACGCCAGCCATACCACTCCGGCAATAGGCTGATTGAATCTACCCCGAAGTGCCAGATACTGCAAGTGTGCCGGCCACCACACGTTGTCTGTCGGAATATCCGAATCTGTGTGCAATACCAGATGAGTCTGCCCATGGGGCCAAACTGTTGGTATGCCCTTGTTGTGTGACCTCCAGAGTCCAAAGAGTGTTGTTAACGGCATTTATTATCGTAGGGAGACATGAGGGAGAAGGAGGGAGGAAGAGTGCCAGGCCCAAAGCCAGTCGAAAAGGGGGCCCGCAACTCGTATCTCAAGGTCTCTCCTAGCCGCCCCTCAAGGCAATCCCATCTGCGGTACACGAAACCGCCAGTGATTTGGTACAATCCGACTAATCTACCTCCACGCACGAACACCCTCCCTTGGTTCTTTACGCCAGTGAATAACCACCACTCGTGCGTCGAAGAGTACATCCGAAAAGCACCTAAAACAACGCAAATCAGAAACAAGGGGAAACCCGCCATCGGATCAAAACCCCTTACAAATCTCAACGCCTTCACGCCGTTCATATCACGAAAGATTCCAACGGCCGTACTGCAACATCAAGGCAAGACAATATCTACCACCGCCCCCGGCTCGCTCTCTACGCCACGCTCGGCTGACTCGACAAGGTCCTCCCTGCGCAGCACAAAAACAAATCATCAAGCACGCCCCTACCCTTCTGGTGAGGTCGTACGACAAACTTGGCCAAAATAGCCACCTACAATGCACCTGATATCCATTGTCCGCTCCTCGAATAACACTGATAGTCTACACGCCGTATGCCCTTCCTTACGCAACACATGCCTAGTAGTTGGGGACGACTTCATACGCCCTCTCTAGTGTGCCAAACAACGCGCGTCGCTTTCCCCTTCTCGGAATGGCGCTTTCCATTCTTCATTCCTTGAACAAAGGCGACGCCTGGTGAGATTTGATTTCCCGGCGTATCCTTACTCGTTACATGGTCTTATTCACCAGACTACTCAGTCACTTGGTTGCCTAGAAGCACATACACGTGGCGATCGTCCAGCATTCAATCAACAAATCAGACACATGGTACATGCAACATCGTGGAAACACGACCAAAGTCCTCCCGTAAATAGAGTCCAACAACACCCAAGAGGCAACGCCCTCCGTCATCCAATAACTGCAAGATCGAAATAGTTCCACCTCAATCATGAGAGGACGACCATAACTCTGTCACGTTGCAGAATATCTGCAGACCGGGCGCAAAACTCTCCGAGCATTACACTCTCCAAAACAAAAAACCCACGCACGGCGCCACCCTCCCTTATTCTGCAACCACACAGGCCACACAGGGAACACAAAACAAGCGGTGACGCGTGAAACTCGAGCATGTGGCGGCGGAAACACCCATGGATTTCAACAAGCAATTAACAGCGATCTATGCAAGTCCGCAACAGCGCCTCACTTGCGACTATTCACGTGCAATACAAGTTATCGCCCGTTACTGCTAAACGCCACATACAAAAGAATCAGAAAACAAAATAAAACAAAATAAAACACATTCCGGCACCAACCAAAATGAAGATAGTGCCCGCGGAAATCCACCGCGCGGCTGGTCCGTTTTGCTTCCCTCCCCACCCGCC